CTATGTTTACAGTGTTCCTTTAAGATCGACCAGCTAGCTTACTATTATTTCATGCCAATTCTTTAACATTATTTTCAAACGTCCATAAAGTTAATAAAAAGGCGTTTTATTTAATTTTAATTTTAAACGTCGGTGTCTTTTGATTTTTATTTTTAAAAGTATGTACCGTTTCTTTACTAGATGGGTCAAAATTATCCCGGATGAACATCGCTCCTACGGCCATCCCTAACTTCTTATTTACTAAGTCCACACACTGGCTCCATCTCACTCTGTTAGCAGAGACCCCTAACAGAACTTTCCGAAACTCCGAAAGCTTCAGCGCATAATCTCCGTTCAGGTAAGGTATAATGTCGTTGACCAAACGCCATATGGCGTAATTATGTACGACTCTGAAATGATATCCAATTAAAATTCGTCACATTAATCTGTACTTAGTGGTCACTTTGAATGCTAATGAGAAGAATCTGATATTGATATTAATAATTAAACTAAGTTGTTAGAAATATATTTATAATATATATATATATATAAAGAATCTGATATGGAAGTCAAAAACAGTCAAACTTAAGAATGTAGTTATCCGTCAGTGAACGAATCTTATCACATATCAATAACAGCAAGTTTTTTTTTTAATTAACAAATTAAAGTGAATTCCGATAGAGGGCGCTGTAGCAGTTTTCATATTCAAACAGTTAAATTCGAAACGAGATTCGTGATTTATATTCAGGCTGGAGTAATAATTAAAATACGGTTGGTATTAAAGACAATATTAGAAAGACAGTTAACATCCATTTAACTATTATTTGTTTCAGAATAAAACATTAACTATAAAACTGTTTTCTAAATTAAACTATCGTATAATCAATCACCTGGGCCTGTATTGTATAATGTTATCCGTATAATCAATCACCTGGGCCTGTATTGTATAATGTTATCCGTATAATCAATCACCTGGGCCTGTATTGTATGATGTTATCCGTATAATCAATCACCTGGGCCTGTATTGTATGATGTTATCCGTATAATCAATCACCTGGGCCTGTATTGTATAATGTTATAGTCTTCTTTCCGGATTTAGCCCTTTCATTACTCACACGGATACATTATGGTCCAGAGTTTCATAATAATGAATTACATATCAATAATTAGGCCATTTCTTTCCATAAACATAAATATTCTACTTAAGAATCACGTATACATAAATAATATTCGTCATATGTGTTTGTTTGATGTCTATCTAACAAGGGGATCAAGACGCCATATTGAAAAATCTCCATCGATATAACAGTATGGACTAAAGCTGTGGTTTTCTATAATCGGGGTTAGTTCTTTAGGTACGTTACCTTCGAGGGGTTTCAGCTAGGATTTGACCCATCTGTTTGAAATACGGAAGTGCATAGACCACAACTGGTTCCATTTCGTCAACTTTAAGAGGTAAGACGTTGTTGAGGTAGTTCAACCACGAAAACTAACGAGAGGAAACAACAAGAATGATTTGGAGGAAAATATTTGTCTATTTTTATTAATGCAAACATGAATCTAAGTTTCTTAATTTTACCTCTTTCTCTACTACATCAGCTACAACAACAACAACAACAGCTACAACAACAACAACAACAAATATCAGGCACTCACTACATCACATCAGCTACAACAACAACAACAACAAATATCAGGCACTCACTACATCACATCAGCTACAACAACAACAACAACAACATCAGGCACTCACTACCTCACATCAGCAATAACAAGAACAAATATCAGGCACTCACTACCTCACATCAGCTACAACAACAACAACAACAAATATCAGGCACTCACTACCTAACATCAGCTACAACAACAACATCAGGCACTCACTGCCTAACATCAGCTACAACAACAACAAATATCAGGCACTCACTACCTCACATCAGCTACAACAACAACAACAACAACAAATATCAGGTACTCACTACCTCACATCAGCTACAATAACAACAACAAGAACAAATATCAGGCACTCATTACCTCACATCAGCTACAATAACAACAACAAGAACAAATATCAGGCACTCACTACCTCACATCAGCTACAACAAGAACAAATATCAGGCACTCACTACCTCACATCAGCTACAACAACAAATATCAGGCACTCACTGCTTAACATCAGCTACAACAACAACAAATATCAGGCACTCACTACCTCACATCAGCTACAACAACAACAACAACAAATATCAGGCACTCACTACCTCACATCAGCTACAATAACAACAACAAGAACAAATATCAGGCACTCACTACCTCACATCAGCTATAACAAGAACAAATATCATAGTGAGTGCCTTGTTGTAGCTGATGTGAGGCAACAACAACAACAAATATCAGGCACTCAATGTATTTCTAAGAAAAGATCTAAAACTTTTTTAAAGTAACGAAACATTATGGAGGAAGCCAGAAATGTTCAAACCTGGCGCACGTGCAAGAATGTAGGCAATATACCCAATGAAAACATTTTTATTCACGTTAATTGTTGAAATTTTCCAAACTGATAACAGATAAATATGTTTTTCTATCTTTCAAACAATTAGAAATTATAATTCTTAGAAAATTCAGACTGTACTTTAAAGGTTTTATGGCCTGTATGTGTCTGGACTGAAGAAGTGGAGGACATTTCAGTCTCTATACTTGGACTTTCAAGATTGCTAGAGCACGGACTAGTGTTTCAGAAAGCTCTGGATATGGAGCTGGCGAGTCAGGTACCACAAAATATTCCCCTGTGGGTGTGGTATAAGAAAGAGTGGCAGTCGATTCTTTAGCGTGGATGGTGGGAGGTAGGGTGCTGCTGACCAGCTGCTTTCTCTGTGGTCAGTAGTTCAAAGCAAGGAACGGCAACAGAAGGTCCTAGTAGCTTTCCAATAAATACATAATATACATACAATTAACGATAACTCTAGCAGCAAAAAACGAAAAGTATTCCATTTCTTCAGTCCGTAGAGACGTTAAATCTGGGATCATTAGGAAGTTTGATCTCTTCTACAGCTACTTTTAGGGTTAAGAGTTTTGTGATGCCTAAGAAATAGTTACTTTTTAAATGATTAAAACGTATACTGGTGAGCTTTCATTATTTTTTTTTGTCAAAAAGTTACTCACTTTTGGAACAAGATTCTTCAGTTCCTGAACTGTCAACTTGTTGTAGATGGCGCCAGCGTCATGGCGGTCTGCTTCGGGTATTGTAGCCTGAAAGTAAGGTAAGAAGTAAGCAGATTTTTATTAGTTTAATATAAATGTTTAATTTACTTTAACAGTATCGATGAGCGAGGATTGAAATGTCCGTAAAACGTATTTCTGAAAATTATTAGACTACAATGAATGAATTAAATACTGAAGAAATAAAGAGACAACACAGACATTGAACACATTTTAAACGTTTGATTTTAGTGGAAACTCTTAAAAACATAGGAAACCACTAATGTATTTACATTGGCGAGTCTGATTTCGAAGTTTAAAACATCCTCCATTTCTGTTTCAGCATGCTTCTTTTCAGCTCCCAGTAGAACAGCGATCTCTACCATCAGTTTATGGTAAGCCTTTCTTTCTCGCTCGCTACTGGCTTTGAGATAATATTCGCGACTTGGGAGACCTAATGGCATTTGATCAAGCTGCAACAGGAGGAAAAGAGAATAAGGCTTAAAAAATAAGAATAGAAGTAAAGCTTGAAATATAGTAATTATATCTTAGTTAGAAAAAAGTAAATCAAAGTATTATAAATGGAAAATCGGAATGATGATATTATAAAAAATAGAACTAATTAGCTCAATTTTTCTTAAATCAACATTTTGTTACGTCCTTTACATTATTAATTGTTTTTATTTTCAGAAGGAAGACACCTGTATGATGTTCATTGATGAATTCTTATCGTCAGGACCAACCCACTGTTCGACAACAATACCAAGGTTGTAGTTTCCCCGGAGGGCACCAAGTAGTTCCTCAATTGGCCACGAGGGAGCTTCCCATTTGCTGTTGGTCACAGGCCACTCTTCAATTTTCTTTAAGACATCGCGAAGAGGTCTGTCTCCAATGGCATCAATGTGGTCTGAAATACGTGAAGAAGAATTGTCTGTGAGCTATAAACACGAAACTTGAAGTATGAGCAGAGCAGTAGTGTTGGATATATGAGCTGGTATAACCTACATATATATTAAAAGATCTTTTATCTACGACAAAAGTTTCGTCTATTACATTTGATACTAGGACATTAAATATACCGATTAAGACGTGACAGCCTGATACTAGTACATTAAATATACCGATTAAGACGTGACAGCTTGATACTAGTACATTAAATATACCGATTAAGACGTGACAGCCTGATACTAGGACATTAAATATACCGATTAAGACGTGACAGCCTGATACTAGTACATTAAATATACCGATTAAGACGTGACAGCCTGATACTAGTACATTAAATATACCGATTAAGACGTGACAGC